CTCCGTTTGCTCACACACATGACGATATCATCCACGCATCAGGGGCTCCAAGCATGCTCACGCACCACAGCTACTTCTGCCGAACCTGCGGCACCCGCCTGCTCCACACCACGCCTGTACGTCTCCCCTGTTCGCGGTGCAGCTCCTTGGGTGCAGCTCCTTCCCTCGTCCCAGCTCAGGGGCACCCAGCACGCAGCTTCAGGCCTTCACATTCTTCGACAGCATTCTTGGCATCCCCACTGACCCGCAAGCAGAGCAAAAATGTCGTCTCCGTCAAGGGGGGCTGCCTCGAGGGCCTCGACTGGACAAAGGCCATCCACATCTGGACAAAGTCGGCCATGGTGCCCATCCCCGAGGGCTCCGAGTCGCACTCGGAGGAGACGTCGCTGACGACCGACTATGGCGAGCTGCAGGACGAGCTCGACCAGCCGACCGACCTGCGCGGGTCCGGCGAGTACGAGGGGCAAGAGTCATTCCGTGGCGCCTCCGTGGTGGTGGTAGGGGAGGGCGAGGCGCCGCCTGCGCCTGTGTCGGGGGCGTGCGAACTGAGCGGGTGAGCCTCCAATCATTTTTTGTGAGTTGCTCTTTTCGACTGCTTTGGGTGTGTTGCGCGGGTTTTCATGAGTCCACTGGTGAGTTCGTGTGTGCTGAACGGCTTGGTGTTGGCGAGTCGAGGTATGGATTGCGGTTCGTGTAGTCTGGAAGCGATTGGAGTTGGGGGGGTGGGGAGGGGGGCGATTTGCCGAGATGGACAAGTAGCAACATCCAGGGTAGACTGCCATGAGCAGCCCTCATCGAGAATTCTAGTCGTTGCCAATGCAACCGCTTCCGATGAGAGAACCGTGCCATAATCGAGATGCATCGTGGGTAAAAATGATGTCAAGAGGGTATCATTGAGAGTAGGCAACACCATATGTAACACGAAAATTCAGCATTCGTCCAAGCATCCCACTCGCTTCGAGAAGACGCTTCGAGAAGATGGGCGATCTAGATGTCCGACGCAGTCCCGAGCAGCTCAGCCTCAACATCAGGACCGCCCCTCGACAAGCTGGTCCTCCGACGGCTCTCGTCCCTCGCGACTCGCCCGGTCGCCCTGTCCCTCCTCGCGGTCGCCGCCGAGCCCGACGTCGGAGTGCTTCGCCGGGTCGAACACATACATGGGAAACTCGAGGAAGACGGTGCGCTTGATGAACGTCGGCAGCGGCTCGTACAGCTGCGGCGGGAAGGGGATGAGGATGCTGGTGCGCCGCAGGTAGCGGCTGTAGCCCTCCCAGTTCTGGCCCTTCTCGTAGCGCTTCTTGGCGCCGGGGCGCTCCGACAGCGGCAGGCCCGAGAGGAACATGAGCAGGGCCGTCAGGAGGATGGGGCCGAGGATGCTGGCGTAGAGGGCGCGGAAGGCCTGGCCGCGCGCGTAGCCGTCGGCGGCTGCGGAGACGGCGATCATGAAGATGGCTGGTCGTGTTAGTTCGCTTTCTCGTTGGAGATGCGGGGGGACCCTGCCCAGATGGGGCGGTTGACGTACAGAACTGGATGAGGATCTCGCCAAAGTAGTTGGGGTGCCGCGTGAAGTAGAAGAAGCCCTTGTCGCAGATGGCCTCGCGGTTCGGATGCGCGCTGCGGAAGCGGAACTTTTGCATGTCGCTGACGCTCTCCATGACGAAGCCGATGGCGAACAGGATGACGCCCGCAATGTCGCGGCCCGTGCCAAAGGCGTGCTGCGGGTACCGCGTGACGTTGGGCGCGTTGAGAATCGTCACGGGCAGGGAGCAGGTCCAGACCCAGATCATCTGGAAGACCCAGAAGCCGAGGAAGGGGAAGAACTTGTCGCGCTTGTCGTCGAAGCGGTCGTCCTTGCCGGTCTTGAGGATGCGGAACAGGAGGAAGGCCGAGAGGCGGGCCCCCCAGAGCATGATGAAGACCGAGGCGACAATCTGGCGCGCGTGGGCGTGGCCGCTCATGGCCAGGGTGGTGATGGCGAGGACGACAAAGTTGGTGCCGCCGGCAAAGTCGGTGAGCTTGTCGAACTTGAAGGTGAAGGCGATGGCGAAGAAGAACAGCTGGTAGGCGACGGTGATGAGGGCCGTGATGGCCAGGTAGTAGTCGTCGAGCACATGAACGACGGTCATGATGGGCGGTTCTGGGGGTTGTTTTGTGCTCCGATGCGTCCTCGGCGGGAGCTGTTGTATCGCCTTTGCACGCCTCAACGCCGACTTGGGATGATAACACGAACACTATCAATGATGTGCAGACTTCGAAATGGACAGGTTGTCGGTCGCTATCTTGGGATGAAACCGAGGGAGGGCGATCACTGTTGGGTGGGCAGTCAGACAAGGGAGCGGACGTGTGTTTTGAGGGATTCGTCTCCGGTGACAAAATTCGCACTCGTCAACCGTTACGCTCCGGCCTAGCTCCCGACGGTCCCGACCCTTATGGTGATAGGGCTGCGAAGCGGCCGATACGTGGTGGAGGGAGCGCTCTGGGCATCGAGAATCTTCAATGTCGTCATCGATATTCAGAGGTGCCTTCGATTGCCGTCCGAGTCGGCCTTCTTGGCGCACCGAGGGCCGGATGAGCCACTGCAACTCGCGCCACACACCATTCGTCATGAGCCACAGCAGCCGGCGCAGAGGCACAACAGGGGATACACCACTATTCTGCCCTGACCGTCAAGCTCCGACGCTTGTGTACAAGTAGTAGGGCCATGAACACCCCGCCTTGAGCGTCTTGCCTCCGGCGCATCGACGTTTGATGGCTTGAGCCTAAGGATGCATCGCCTCTCACCATTTGTTCTACGACTTGCCCTCTGTCACGACTGCGTCTGGTGTCAGCAAACGACAAGCCAGCTGTTGGTCGAAATCTCGACCAGTTCTAGGACATTTTGTCTCGTACTTGAATGACTGACTGTTGAGCCGCTTCCATTCAGGGCTCTGCGCACATTGGTCAATAGGTAGCTACTATCCAAGTAGCAGCTGCTCCGAGAGGGTGAATCATTTTCACTGCATGTCTAGAGAAGAAGCAAGAGGCGAGGGGCCGACCAGGGGGGCAGCCACCGGCAGGCAGGCACACGTTTCACGTTGAGCAGGCGGCACCAGGCCAGACAGAAGAGGAGGCTAGACCTGCCTTGCGCTTGCTTTCCTTGACGTGCACCATTCTCCTGATGGTTCTTCCATGTCCCTGAACCGTCTAGTTGTCCTTCAACACCATAGCTGCATGGCATCAGGAATCTCCCCGACCAGCTCACTTCATCTCCGTCTTCAACATAGCCTGTTGCCATGAGTTGAGCATCCGAAAAATGTGCCGCGTCACCGCAGCTGAACCGTCCAAGCTCGCTTCGCCGACCTGACGCAGACACAGCACAACAGGAAACATCGACCTTCAAGTCATCCAATCCAGTCAATGCGATGCCGTGTCGCAGAATGTTTTCAATCAGTCTCGTCTCAATAAGAAAAACAGCCCACGATGCGAGCATGAGCAACGCCATGCAGTGCCATTCGGCCTCTTGGGGGGTTTCTTGAACGCCGCTTTATCAGCAGCCGCTGCCGTCTCTCCCAGTCGATTGGTTCTGTTGATGAGCCTGGCCATCCCCTTTGTTTCCTCGTTTCGCCAGCCCCATCCATTCGCGGCGTCGTGTTTGGATCGTGGCCTCCCGAGGTGACCACGCGTCATACGCCCCGACTGACAACTCGCGATGGAGACAGCGACGCGACGCAAGAGGGGAGGCCGTCGTCACGGCAGCCGCCGTCCACCACCACCACCCAAGAGAAATACCCGATGCATCTGCCGGTCGTCACACGGCGGGCCCGGGGTTTGCATCCCTCAGCAACGTTGCTTGTCAGCATACATGGTCAGCATGACAGGGCCGGCATGGGGCGCCCCATGCTTTTGGGAAATGCCTAATCATCCTTTGCGGGAGCGGCCACCTTGTGTGCATGAGCGAACCTCCTGCAGCATTATACCTCTTCACCTTCACGATAAGACGAGCCACGATATACCTGGTTGAGCAATCTACCCAATGCTCGGCTTGCTCATTTGACAAGACCTTGGCCTTTAGGATCCTTTTGCGTATTTCCGTGTCCGTCTTGGCAGCATACAAGTGCTCGGAACCCCCCCCGTTTCGACACCATGTCGCGCCACATGCACCTCTGACAGGAGCCGTCAGGGGCGCGTCTCAACCGGACCCCCTGACCGTGACGCCTGGACCTTGCGTCCGCGAGACTTCACGATCTCCTGGCCGCATGCTCACCATACCCAACCCGTCTTCTTCGTCCGATGTTCAACCCCACCTTACGGAGATCGAGGGCTCGAACCACCTTGGGTCCCCAGTGATGGCATATCGTACCAGTCTGGCCCTCACTCTATCCCTGCGAAACAAGGGCCAAAACCACGTCTTCGCGAGCCCTTCCTCCCCCCCTTGCCTCGAGCGCCCCAGTTGCCGCCTCACTCGTGACTCTTCTCATTCGCTCTTCGTGCTTTCATGGCCTGTGTGTCTCTATCGTCGTCCCATCTCGTGTTCCTCTTCTTCTTCGTCCCGTTTACGTTACCGCTAGCCGCGAACGGCTTCCTTTCCATGACCGGCTTTTCGTCTTCCACTTTCTGTTCCGCCCAATCTTGACAAACTTGGATCGTCTTGTTGTCTTTCCGTTCAGTCCTTTCGGTTCGCCCACACGCTCCTTTCCCCCAAAATCTTTGCTACGGGCTTCGGCTTCGGCTTGGCTTGGCCGTCCCATCTCGACCTCGACGAGACGACCGATGATCCCTATGACCTTGCTGCGCCCTCTTCTTCGTCGCTATCGCTTGCCGTCGCAGTAGTCTAGTGAACTGCACTCCTCGACAAACACCGGACCACTCCGCCCACGCTCTTTCCTAGGGTTGATCCCATCCAACATCACCGACGGCTGGTCTGTTGCGTTACTATTCACCCATACAACCTATTCGACAAGTTTGACCCAGGACACTTCGCAAGAGACTGAAGTTCTTTAATCGATACCCCCGCGCCCACGATGCGGCTTCAACCCGTCTTCGTCGTGGTCGCTCTCGTGTCCTCTTCTCGAGCCGCTGTATTCGGCCGGAAACAGCAGCATGAAGAGGTCGACAAGCGCGACATCATCGGCAGCATCCTCGGCGCTCTCAATGGGAACCAGCTGGCGCCCGTCACCGTCACCGAGACGATGCGCATGACCGTCAGCGTGGGCAACCCTGGAGCCATGGAGACCATGACCGTCACCGTCACCGCGCCTGCCTCTCCGCCTGCGCCTGCGCCTCCCGCCGGCGAGCCTCTGCCTCCTGGCCAACTCCCTCCCGGCCAACTCCCTCCCGGCGTACTGCCTCCCGATCAACTCCAGCCCGGCGAGATGCCCCCTGGCGTGCTCCCTGGACATATGCCTCCCGGTCAGGCACCCGGACAGATGCCTCCGAGCCAGGCGCCCGGGCAGGCTCCCGGCATGGAAGGGTACGCATCACGAGTGGAATGGCCCACACTTGATTTGCTGACATCTTCCTAGACAAGCTCCGAGCCCAATCATCATGACCCCCGAGGTCATTACCGTCACCGCCGCCGCCCCGCCGCCGCCGCCCCCTGTCACCGTCACGCAGACTCTCACCGTCATGCAGCCTTGTGGTGTGCCTGCTGCTCCGGCTCCGGTCCCAGCTGCCCCTTCGGCCCCGGCCATTCCTTCAGCTCCCGCCGCTCCTTCAGCACCGATCGTCTCTCCGCCCGCTCTTCCATCGGCAAGTACCTCGACGCCAATTGTCGACGAGATTCCGAAAGGGCCCGCCTCATCACCGCTGCCGCCTCCCCAGCCTCCCACGGAGCCCGTCCTGCCGCCACCTCAGACGAGCGCTATCGCGCAGCCGGTCCTCAGCGCCCCGAGTGCCCCCAGCGCCCCTGCTCAGCAGTCTTCCAGCAGCAGCAGCAGCAAGTCAACTCCCCCGGCTGCCGAAGTCACGCCGCCGGTCGTCGCGGCTCCTGCTCAGCCTGGCGCAGGCCTCGATGGCCTCACGCTTACGAACCGTCTGAATTTGGGCAACTTACTGCAAAACACGGCCAATTTGCAAGCTCGCGCGACACCGGCCGCGTGACGCGTGAGGAGGAGATGACGTCTGGGGCAGTGAAGTTGAGGAAGTTCGTGAAGAGAGAAGCCAACTAGGTGGAAGGGTTGGGGAGGTGGTGGGTTGCTCACAAGGCCCTGGCCTCTGATCCCGATTCTGTCGCAGCGCGTCACACAAGGGAAGGCTCAGGCACGCCCTGTCTCTGGCAGTCTGGGGCTCGTGGCTTGCGGCCTGTGGACTTGGCGGGAAATACACTTGACCTGTTGTACATAATCTTTTTAGTTCTAGCATCCTGCAGCATACAGATGAGACAGGGGCGCCTGGGGTGAGCAAGTCTCACGCCAGGGCCGAATCAAGTATACCCATAGAGCGCAGTAGTCTCTTGGTACGGCACTTTGCATGAGATTGAGAAGAAGTTTCTCTCTTGATGTGTAGGGGGTATCATTCGGTTTCGACCGTATTAGTTTGTCATGCTCGGGCAGCCGAGATTTTGTCTATGCCTTCTCCGTCGTCGTCGGCGTCGTCGCCGCCGCCTCCTTCTGAGCTAGCCGTAGCTTCTTCGCCTGCCGCTTGCTGATCGCCTGAGGCTGCTCAGCCCCGACGGCGGTCCCAGACTCGTCGTTCTTGCGCTTGGTCGCGTTCTTGCCCTTCTTGCCGGCCTCTTGCGGCGTGCCTGTCCCTGCGTCTGCCCCGATATCCTTCATCTCCGTGTCCCCGGCCCGCGCAGCCGTCTCGACAACATTAATGACGCTCTTGTACGACGTCCTCTTGAGCCCCTCGTTGACGACGACGCCGCGGGGGTTCCCCCGCAGCGCCTCCATACCCCTCTCGGTGCCGAGCCCCCAGACGGCCAAGAGGTTGACGACATCGGCCGGCCCGCGCAGCTGCAGCGCGCTCTGGGCCTCGGAGCTGATGACGAGACCACGGCCCCGCGTCGCCCGCGCGAGCGCCTGAAAGTTGGCGATGAAGGCGGCGCGCGCCTGCGCCGCGTCGGGACCGCCGCCCGCCGCGCCGCCGCGCAGGGCGTGGGCGTAGCAGATCTCAAAGCGCACGCCGCGCGCGACGGCGGCCATGCAGGGCTTGGGGCGAAAGTGAAAGTCGAAGCGCGCCGTCAGGTCGAGGGAGATGAGGGCCGGGTCGGCGAGGGCCAGGCAGGCGGAGGTGAAGGCGCGCTCGTTGGTCGGGCGGACGGCGAGGAGGTCGTAGGCGGCCGCGAGGCTGGGCATGCGGTGGTTCTGGGCCGGGTCGGAGTAGACGAGGGTCGCGCGGTGGAGGATGGTCGGGCGGCGCGGGGTCGTTGGGTTTGCTGGTTGCGGCGCCCTCGCGGATGATGATGTGGAGGGAGCACCGGCGTCGAGCTTCGGCAGCGGGTTCGTGATGGTCGACGGCAGCGGCCCGTCCATTATGTGGTTCAGGGCGATGACGTTGTAGCCGAGGGCTGCGCTGAACGTGATGGTGTTCTCGAGGTCTCGGGTCGTGGTCGAGGGGGACCAGGGGATGTTGAGGTCGTACAGCATTGCGGGCTATGGGTTGAGCATTGGCTGTAGTGTAGGGAGACGTGAGATGGTCGAGTGGAAGACGCTGGAGTGTAGTGTCCGTGTCTGGCGTGCAACGATGGGATGAGAGGGGCGGGGAAGGCCTGATGTTGAAGCTATCGTCAAGTTCTGAAGGTTCGGCAAGGCAAAAAATCTGATGACTGAAAGAAGCTCGTAGGTACTTCAGGCAGGTAGATCGCTGCTCTACAGCGAGCCAGCCCTGCAGCTAGCGACTTAGCGGGTGACCCCGCTGTGGCTGCTACGGTTGTGCCTGCCCCAGCGCGCTGGACGTGTTCGTCAGGGGAGACGGCTTGGACGGGTCGCACCTGCCCCAGTGGTGCCAAGCCTGCACTGCCCCCTGCTGCGTAAGTGCCAGGCCTCGACCCAATCGGAGCCGCGGGCTTCAACCTTGCATCTCGCCCCGCAAGGGCCTCCCGCGCTCCGGTGCTTCCTACGTCTAGGCCTGCCTGAGCCTGTAGTCTGGAGCCTGGAGCCTGGCGCCCAAACGTTGAACGTTGAACGTTGAACCTCCCTTTCACTTCTTGCGCCCCCAAACCTTCGTCAACCCAACCCTGGGGACAGACCACGATCCTTACATCACCTTTGCCGACTCATCACGCCACCTTACGCAGACGGGTCGCTCAAGTTGCGCGACACATCCCAACTTCTTCACGGCGCGCCAACCCAGCCGCATCGTCCGAGACACGCCTTGCGACACCGCTCTCTCCGTCGCATCAGATCAGCCGCAGATCGCCAACGTGCTGCCGTCGCTGCCGCTGCCGCTGCCTCGACCTCGACCCTGCCGCAGCCATGTTCTTCTTCTTCGTGTGCGGCGAGCACACCTTCCGCAAGCAGGTCGCCGGCTATGAGGGCATCGTCTGCCAGTGCTACAACTGTGGCAACATGGCCGGCCATGTCATCAAGACGCATCCCTGGTTCACCTTTTGTTGGATCGTACGTTTCGACTCTCCCCGCCCAGCGAGCGGGCTCCTGTCCCCCTCCATTCAAAACAGTTCGCATCAGCTAACGAGTGCGTGCCGCAGCCCGTCGTCCCCTTGTCCATGAAGGGCTACACCGATGTCGTCTGCAGCATCTGCAACTTTGCCCAGCCGCTCGAGAACCGTCCGGACGTCATGGGCATGGCCAACGGCGGAGGCGGCGGAGGCGGATACCCGGTGCCGCCTCCGCAGGGGCACCCACCGCAGGGCTGGGGCCAACAACCGCCGCCGCAACAGGGCCCGCGATACGGATAGGCGTGTCCCGGGGGGTGGCTATTGAGGGGACGGCTGTTCGGGGGGTTGCGTGTTCCTGTCCGAGGAGCACGGTGGCGAGAAACCATACTGCGATACTTTTTTATTTTCAGACCCAGGAACAGGAGTAGGGGCAGGGAGCAGGGACGGAGGGCGAGGTGGGGTTTCTTTTCTTCTCATTTTCTCCCCTTCCTTTTTTTTTTTTTTTTACGTCGTCATACCCCCTTGAGAGGCGCGGACGAAGGCTGGCTGTGGTGTCGAGAGTCGTTGCAGCTCTTCGCGGACCCCTCCAACCCCACTGGCGAGGCGTTCTGGGGTACTAATATTTGTACGGATAGCACTGGGTTTTTGCATGATTTGGTCATGGTTGATGAGCTCGGTTTGACGAGGCGGTTTCATTTCGGCTTGTCACGCACATGGTGTTGTATGTCTCTACAGCGTTGAATGGAACAATGTTCCCCTGCTGCAATTTTGTTGTGGCGTCACACATGATATGATGAATGGCAATCACGACAGACACCTAGCTGGAAAGTACTCATACAACGGTTATCCAACCGAGGAAATGCATTCATGATTGCTTGCTATGCATGCTCCTTCTCCTAGAACTTCCTCTATCCCATACCAGGCTGCCTTGCTCCCTTCACACGACCGGCCGTCAATGCCCAACACCCCCTGCAACCCAGTCGTTGAACGCAGGGTTGCCCTGAGGCGGGAACATGCCTCGGTCCTCTTGCGCCGGTGGCGGCGGCGGCGGCTGCTGAGCCTGCGCATTCGGTGCCATGCCCTGCTGCTGCTGGAGGCGCCTCGCCTCTTCGTCCCGGCGGTGGCGTTGCTGCATCTGTTGGCGGTAGTAGAGCAGAAGCACGAGGCAGATACCGATAAAGACGATGAGGAGACTCTCCGTCATGTCGTCCTCGAAGATAAAGTCATCGCCAGCCTCGGCGTGCGCTGCCGTGTCGTCGTAGATGTCGTCGTAAAAGTCTTCCTGGTTCCAGAATGCGTTGTCATCCTTCATGAAATTCGAGATCCATTCACCCAGCGACCAGTCCTTCTTGGGTTCTGCATTCACATTAGCTGTGGTTCTTCAAAGTCAGACGGCAGGCTGTGCGCCAGATCACGTACCAGGATCGTCTTGGATGGAATGAATGGGTCCACGGGTGAAAGTGTTCCAGGCGCTCTTCAGGCGCAGCCTGAGCAGCGTCAACTTCACGGGCAGGTAGGCCTCCTCGTTGACTTCGAGCGCCTGGTCATAGAAACGCTTGGCGAGGTGGTAGTCCTGCGTAAGGCCAATGCCGTGCTCGTGCATCCATCCCAAATTCCACAGGGCTTGGGCGCTCTGCGAGTAGTCGGAAGCGCCGGTGTAGCACTGCACCGCCTTGCCAATGTCGAGCTCGGTGCCGACGCCGTAGTAGTAGTAGTCGCCCATCTTGACCTGGGAGTCTACATTCGACTGCCTCGAAGAACGCGTCCAGTACGTGAGCGCCAGCCTGGGGTTGTCCAGCAGGGCGGGACGCGGTGCGGGCTTGATGAGGCTCGACAGCGAAAGTCTAGCCTGTGTCGGGTCAAGCATGTATGCGACATTGTTCTGCGCGCGCTCGTAGCCCTGTTCGGCAGCGAGGACGTACTCGAGGAATGCCAATTCAGAGTCTCCTTCCTCGTAGGCTTGGTTCGCCTCAGCCCACGACGACACCAAAGGTTCCGCCTTTTCGGCAACATTCTTGTAGTACGCCAGAGCAACAGAGCAGGTCTTGTCCCTACCAACACCGTGGTTGCTCATCTCAGCCAGGTAGTAGTGAGCCTCGATGAGGCCGTAGCGAGCAGCCAGCTCGAAGTAGTTGCTGGCGATCCGCACATCATCGGCACCGCCTTGATCGAGGTAGAGCACGCCCATCTCAATCTGCGCTGGGGCGTAGTCCTGCTCCGCAGCGGCCTTGAAAAGTTCTGTCGCGGCCTTGACGTTCTTCGGCGCATTGCCGTAGCCATGGAGCTTCATGAGGCCGAGTCCATACTGAGATTGGGCATCGCCAAGCTTGATGCCACGGCCGAACCATCTGAATGCCTGCTCAAGGCTCTGGTCAACACCATCGCCTCTCAGGTACATACGGCCAATAAAGCCGGCTGCCCTGCCAGCGACCTTTTCGATGCCGGGCTTTGGTGTATCGATGATGCGGCCATCCTTCTTCCAGTAGCGCTTAGCAACCATGAAAAAGTACTTGCGTGCCATGTCAACGTTGCGGGCCAGGCCCCGCTGCCCATCATAGTATATTCGACCGAGGTTGAATGAGGCCTTGAAGTCTCCCCTCTGCGACATGAGATCGAGATACTCAATGACATCATCAATAGCCGCGTTGACGTCCGAGTTGACACTGGCCTTGATGGCATTGAGACCAGCACTGGAAGCGCTGGCTCCCTCGCCATAGACGCCACCCTCTTCGTCGGCAATGCGATACTGCTCCACGATCCAAGCCATACCACCGGGAGGTCCCGAGCGGTACCACTTGATGGCCTTGTCGGCCACTTTCTTGTAGTACTGCACGGCAGTGTCGCAGCTCTTGGCCGTGGCGACGCCGCTGTGGTGTCTGTATCCAATGGCCATCTCGGCCTTGGTGTTCCCCTGAAGCGCGGCAAACGTGTAGTAGAGCATGGCCTTGGCCGAGTCGGGGGCCACGGCGCCGCCCAGTCCGGTGGAGTAAAAGACGGCCGTCATGTGCTGGGCCATGGCGTTGCCATGTGTGTCGGCCAGGGTCTTGTAGTGACTGAAGGCGGCCGTCAGATCTCTCGGGTAGGAGTAGTTGCCGTAGAAGTTCATGTCGGCGAGGATGTAGAGGGCATCGGGGTTGCTGAGAAGTGCCGACTGCTCGAGAAGCTTGACGGCATCGAGGAGCTGCCCGCTCACGACGGGCTTGCTCTCTTCTGTGGGCGGCGCGCTGACCTCGAGACTGGGGAGCGCGTTGACGACATAGTCAAGGACGGTATCGAGGATGCTGCGTTGGCGGCGCGTTCGCGTACGGGTTCGGCGCGGGACCTTCTTGAGCGCCTCCAGGGCAGTATCGACAAGGTCCGCTCCTGTCGAGATTTAGCTAGCGCCCTTTGCTTGTCACAATACGGTAGGCTTCCCCTACCTGGATGTCTTGGGGGTGGCTGTTCTTGTGCCGGAGGGACCGGGACTACGTCGGCCGTTGGTGGAGAATTTTGGGTATCATCATTCGGCGTCGCAATAGTTGGCTCATCATTTTGAGCTACCATTACTTTCTGTGCATCCTGGGAAGTGACGGTGGCGACCTGCAAGAGCACTGGAGTTGAAGGTCAGCCTGGGGGGGGGGAAGCTCCATGTAGCTTGGGACATGCGCATGGGGGACTCGGGGACAACATACGGAATAGCCAGACAACGGAGCCTTTCATACTGGGCAGTTTCTATGTGCCGGGACTCAGGAGAAGCACTCGCGACATGTTCAGTCGCAATGGGGAGGGCAGAAGAGCGTTGGTGGGGTTGTTGGTATGAGGTTCGGCAGATGCTGGCTTTCGAACAGATGTCCGTTATGATGCTCCGAGCTCCACGGACCGGGGTGGTACCTGTCGCGTGCAGCTGTCCACTACCAGAGTACTACAAGACCATTCGCGCTTAGGTACACAGAGTCCTCGTGTCGGCTTATCTAATGACGTGTACTTACACCTACCTACCTTACTTCATATGGGTCGAGACAAAGCCATACTATCGCAAATACTGGCTGTCAAAAGTGTAGAGCTGTATGTACCTTTATTCGCAGTGGATCCAAGTCTCAGCCCGTAGTGCTATCAACTGTCTGCGGTTCCTCGACGAGGCTGGCGCTTCCTGCTTCCCCAAGGGCAGCGTCGACCCCGTCGTATGCATAGCCAGACCAGGAGCGACCCGATCTGAATTGATCCTGGCTGGCCAAACACAGCAGGCAGGTAAGCGAAGCCTCGATGCAGACGGAGGCAGCCCAATGGTAACCATCCTCAACACCGCCCGCTAGGCGTTCTGGCTAGGCTTTCTGCACAGTAGCATCACATCCAGTCATGCGTGCAGCTAGTGTACTACTGCTGATGCCTAAGAACTTGCCGCATGATTGCCTCTTCAGCTCGGCGAGCCCCCAAGAAACCTGCAATGACCACCGATGTCTTCAAAACGGCCGAGGGTATCGAGGGGCTCCTGAGTACACCCTCACCTGGGACATCCTAACACGCACAATGCACCATGTCACCGTCGCCCGAGGATGACACCGCGATCAAGTTTAATCTTCCCCAGAGCAGCGCCAACGTCGAGGTAGCTTCTGAGGGATTCACTACCCTTTGGTCGGCTCTCGAGGCGGAGACTGAGTGAGATTCACAGCCGCCTCGTTTTTCGTACCATCTTCTCCTCAGTTTGCTGATAGTCGGCCACTCATTGTAGCATAGTATTCATCCATGGTCTCCAAGGCCACGCCCAAAAAACGTGGCACTATGGTGCGCTCGAAGAGTCGGGCCGCGGCCTTCTCCGAATGTTCCAATCATCGCAACGCCAACACCGAAAGCATGACTGCTTCTGGCCAAGGGACCTGCTCCCAAATGACTGCCCGAATAGCCGCATCTTGACGTATGGGTACGACTCGCACGTCAGTCATTTCTTCTCCGGCGCTGCGAACCAGACGAACGTCGTTGGCCACGCCAGCAGCTTCTTACACGAGCTCGAGGCCATCCGCCGGGACGACCCCGGACGGCCCATCATTTTCGTTGCACATAGTCTGGGTGGTTTGCTGCTCAAAGAGGCCCTTCGGCAAGCCTGCATCCAGGTTGATGATGACGCCTACCTCCGGGATCTCCCCTTACGGGCCGAGCGTGACGAAGACAGCCTGGGCTTCGAAGGCGCCGCTGGTGGCTTCAAGATGATATTCGAAAGTACGGTCGCCACCATCTTCCTCGGCACTCCTCACCGTGGCAGTGAACTTGCCGAATGGGGTCTGATGCTGCAAAGAGCTGCGAAAGCCGCCTGCTTTGACACCAGCGATACGCTACTCAGGGATCTCAGCGTCGACTCTGTGACGCTGAAGACGCTCATCACCGGGTTTGCTGGTGCCTACGAGCGGAAGCATTGGGAACTCTATACATTCTGTGAAGGAAAGGCTTTGCACGTGCCATTCTTACCCCGGGAAAAGGTGGTGAGGGACATCTCTGCTACTCTTGGCTATCACCGTGAGCATGTGGACGTCATCAACGCCGACCATAGAGCCATGTGTCGCTTTCGAGGCCTACACGATCCAGGGTACAAGAAGGTGAGGAATGCGCTCAAGGCATGCATGAGGAACCAACCCGGTAGGATAACCCTCCCCCCTATCACCTCCGCATAACGAAAGGAACTTTCTGACCATTGTCGTTGCCTCACCTCTTAGGTAGCATTGACGGCATCAAGTTCCGCAAGGCTCTCCGTGAGTTGGATGCCGAAGAAACACGTTGGCGACTCCAACAAGTGGTACCAGCTTTTGAGGACACCTTCGAATGGCTCTATGCCAACAAGCAACTGCGGTTTGTTGACTGGCTCGGCTCCGATGAAGGGCTTTACTGGATTAAGGGCAAACCGGCATCTGGCAAATCGACTCTGCTCAAGAAAGCGTACACAGATACGCGCACCCAGAAGGCTCAAGTCGCTCTGAGGGCTAAGGGTTTCAAATGCACGACAGCCGCCTTCTTCTTCCACGATCGTGGATCGCCTCTTCAGAAGTCTTTTGAGGGTTTCCTCAAAGCGGTTCTGCACCAAATTCTGAAAGACATACCCGAGCTGCGATCCGTTGTGCACGAGGGATGGCGATACTTTTATCGCAAATCAGAGCCGTTTACGTGGACCACGGACAAGCTGATCCATGTCTTCGAACACGTTGTCAGAGAAACAAACTTCAACACATCCATACTTCTGTTTGTTGATGCGCTCGACGAGTTTGAAGGTCGGTATCAAGACGTCGCCCGGTTCCTACACACGATTTGTCTAGACAGTCAGCGGAGCAAGAACGTCCGGGTCAAGATCTGCATGACCAGCCGCCCAGAACAGGTTTTTCTGGATAACTTTACTCATGTTCCAGGATTCTGGATCCAAGATCACACTGCCGGCGATATACAGCGCGTCGTCGACGTTGAATTTCAGTCCAACTCTAGGGTCGGCCGAGAGCTTCGAGACGGCACTGCGATCCAGAAAGCCGCAATTGACAGTCTGAAGGGGCAGATTACTCGCATGGCTGAAGGCGTCTTTCTCTGGGTCCGACTAATTCTTGAAGAGCTCCTTGGCGACTTCACGGACGGGTCCAGCGTCGAAGAAGTCGCCGAGGAATTGACCCGACTCCCGACGGATCTGACACGATACTACCAATACTTGCTCGAGAAGAGGATTCGGCAAAAGTACATTCGGCAGTCAAGAGTCATGCTCGATATTGTCAAGTGTGCGAAGCGGCCTTTGGTCCTCTCCGATTTCCTTCTGGCATATCGCTTTGCCGCCAAAAGCGACTCGGAGGTTCCGGGTTCTCGCTTCGCCAAGGTCGACACATCGTTCGACGAGGCAAAGAGATTGATCCAGAGTCGATGCGGCGGCCTTGTTGAGCTCAAGGAAGTTCGGCTGGAGAGCACGGAGCGCATCTATGCCTGTCCGGCCTTTTCCGATGACCAACTGGAAGACTATCACGTTCAGTTCCTGCACCAGACTGTGAAGGCCTTCGTGGAGAAGGCTTCCTCGGCCTTCACAGACAGTGAAGATGAGACGCCCGTGAATGGGTTTCTGTACTTGACCAAACTGGGGCTGCTGACCATTGGCGACTCGGCGTGGCCGCGCTACTCGCCATCTTTCTCGTTTCAAAATGATTTCTTGTCGTACCTTAAAGGCTCGGAAGATGCTGGCCTGACAGATATGTCTTGTCTTCTCTCTCAGGTCAGCATGGCAAAGATTCTGGACGCTTTCAACCCTTGGGCCACCGAGCAGTACCTCCCACCACCCAAGAATCTTGCGGGCATCGCCATGCTGGCCGAGACGCCGAGGTTTCTGGAACACGAACTATCGCTCCTTTCAGGGGAAGAGGCATCCAAGGTATTCGTCCTGTTCTGCAGGTATCTTTCGAAACACTGGGAAACCGTTCCCAAGGACATTGCCAGCATTCTTCTCAGGTACAGTACTTCTGCGCAGCTCATCATGCAGGCTGTCAGGCATAGCTTCGTCGATGCAGCCAGCAAGGATGGTGTGCTGGAGAACCAGCTCTATCTTTTGCGCATGATACTCGAAAAGGGGATTCATCCCGACACGCCCATCCCCCTTGTGGTGGGCAAAGTTTCTGCAGGCGGCAAATCGATCGGTTGGAACACGTTTATGCACACAGAGGTCTCGAACCCGCTGCCGCGCGAGGTCTTGGAGCTCCTCCACCAACATGGCTCCGATGTCAATGCCAGGGATCACAAAGACTTGACGCCCCTCGACCACGCTGTGTCGCAATTTCTCACAGCGTTCGACACCATGTACAGCCTCCGCGGGGGAAACGTCCCGACGGCGCGAAAGGATGCGTACGTCCGGAAGCTTGACATATGCCGCTTCTTGCTCGACAACGGAGGTCGGATGACGACCAGGTCTGATCAGTTTCTGTGGGATATTTCAGCGGAGACACGCGAGGAGATCACGGCGCTGGACATACCCGTCGAGCCGAGGCTTCCCTTCCCTCCAAGCATGAGGCCAGGGGAGAAGTTCTTCTTCGGAGAGACAGGACATCCCTCTGGCGGTAAGGAAATGCTGGAGGATTCGGCCTCAGAGTCATCCGAACAGACCGAGCCTCACGATATGGGCTGGGCTGAATATGGTGTGCAGCAGGCACGGAGCCTTGCGTGGTGGATTGTTTCCGCAGGGCGGGGTGGGGGGGATGAGGCTGCTCAGTAGACGCTCTGTACAACAAGTCATATAGGCCCACAAGAGGACGGGCTGGCTGTTGTGTCGTATGGTACCGGAATGATACTGATCGAATCACATTTTTGGTGATCGACTGCTTAAGCAACACACGAGTGGCTGCGTCAGTGGGAACGTCCCCCTCTATCCTCGGTGTGTCTCGGTGACAATACAAGTGCAGTTGCCAGTCCTCTGTTGAAGAAGAAAGTGCACGGGCCAGCATTTCACTCACACCACTCGGTTTTTTATAAGAGGCAACAGTTGACTGGGCTGAGAGCTGCTCGCAAAGTACAGCGTCATACTGATGATCAATACCTGAGCTGAAGTGTACGTTCCCTTATACTATGGCCAAAGTTGAGACCCCTGTCGAGCTTGGCTCACTTCGCATCAGCTTGCAAACAGCACGCTGAAGCTCATGAACCCCTCCGTCTCTCTACCCCTCCAACCCCTCCAACCACCTCCATGCGCCCCCCATCCCCTGAAAGCTCCTGACTGACGGACGAACAGTTGCCCACCATGTACATGCTCGCCCCCGTGGCCGGTCACCGCTTCACGGGCCGCGACGAAGTCTACGTCCTCGACATCCACCGCCTCGGAGCAGGTCTCGCCTCTATCACGTCAGACCAGCAACTCTCGCTCTTCGACCCAGCCCGCCTCGGCGCCGGCCCCATCACCTCCCTGCCGACCGCGCACGGCAACATCAAGGCCCTGCGCCCCTTTGACCGGTCCGCCTCGACCGTCTGCACCGCCGGCGACGACGGCACCGTCGCCCTCTGGGACCTCCGCAACCCGCGCTCCAGCGCCCTCGCCGCACGCTTCGCCGCCGCCGACGCCCCCCTCACGGCCCTCGCCTGCGACGCCGCCTCGCACACGCTCGCCGTCGGCACCGAGTTCGCCAACCACCAGTCCTCCATCGCGCTGTGGGACGTGCGCGGCGCATCCCCCGCGCAGCGCGCCCGCTACGCCGAGGTCCACAGCGACGACGTCACCGAGCTGTGCTTCCACCCGGCCGAGGCGCCGGGCGTCCTCCTCTCGGGGTCGACCGACGGCGTCGTCAACGTCTACGACACGCGCGCCGCCGACGAGGACGACGTCGTCGTGCAGACGCTCAACACGGGCTCCGTCCACCACGCCGCCTTCATGAGCGCCTCCGAGGTCTACACGCTGACGCACGACGAGAAGCTCGCCGTCTTCAACCTCGACGCCGGCTACGAAAAGGGCACGCCCGTTGCCGACTTTGGCGACGTGCGCGCCGAGCTCGCCTGTCAGTACGTCGCCAATGTGACGGCCAAGGTGGACGGCAGCGGCGCCATCATCGGCGTCGGATCTCAGGAGTATGTTTTTTTTTTTGCCCGTCTCTCTTTGGGCGTGCATGCAGATGCTGACGGCGGACAGTCGACAGAATTTCCAGCTCGTGCACCTCGCGCGGGGGAGCGAGAACAACAGCTGGGTCTTCGACAAGGCGTCGAGTGTTGGGCTGCCTGGCGGCCACGGGGAGGAGATTGTGCGGGCCTTCTGCTTCTACGACGACGAGCAGGTCGTCTTTACGGCGGGGGAGGACGGCTACATCAAGGCGTGGAGGCCGAATTAGAGGATACCCAGACAAAAGAGGAAATCGTGAAGACGTTAGAAAAGGAAAAAAGCATGTGTTTCACTGACGACCAGCAGCCGCCCAAAATACTGTCAATGATGCGACCAGACCAGACGGGTGCCGCGAAACATGGTCACAAAACAGGGTATCATTATTTTTTGAAGAAGGGAACGAGATCCCCCTCTCAACCAAACTTATCATGCTTGCTCTTCACCTTGAACATGAGCAGCTGCTCGTGATAGTCCCCCTCGCGCCTCGCCCTCTTGAGCCTCCGCACCTCGTCCTCCTCGAGCTTGCGGCCGACGGCGGCCTCGAGCTCCTTGCGGCTGATCCTCTCCTTGGCCTTCTCCTCCTTGGACGCCTTGAGGCGCGGCTTGAAGCGTGCCTGCATGCGGATGCGCAGCGTCGAGGCAAACGACACGGCGTCGGCGTCGCCGCGCACCTCGTGGCCCGCCTTGGACCCGGTCGACGGCTTGGCCGTGACGAACGTGTCGCGCAGCGTCTGCAGCTGGAACGTGCCGGGCGTGTCGGCGGTCGGGAGGACGTGGAAGCACTCGAGGGGGGAGACGGCGTCCGAGGCCGCGGAGAGGGTGCCGTTCTTGTCGCAGCCGAGATATCTACGGTCGAGTCAGCGAGACGGGCCCCCTGCAGAAGAGGCAGAAAGGGAAGGATGGATGGCGTGAACGCACTTCCCGTGGTGCCCCTTGAAGCGGAACTGTTCGGTGCCCGAGACCTTGTTGGCGACCCAGACCTGCCTGACGTCGTGGGGCTCGGCGGTGGCCGGGTTGCCGTCGACGATGTTCTCTATCTCGAGGCAGAAGACCTTGCCGACAGCGTCGGTGGCCAGGGCCGAGGGAGGGTCGGTGGGCAGGACGAACATGACGGGACCGACAACGTCGGCAGTGGTGTCGGCTGAGACCCAGCTGTCATCGCTGTCGGGATTCTCGGCGGCGGTGACGGATGCAGAGGCGGAGGCGGACGCCGGCACGAGGCTGGACGACTCGGCATCTGGGCCGTCGCCCTCGGTGGCGGGGCGCTTTCTCTTTTTCGGCTTCTTGTCGCCTTTGAAGGATAATGGCTTGACCATATCTGTGGTGTCTGTGTGGGGGAGATGGTTTCGCGCGCCTCTGCTACTGCTGAGAGAGGCAGCTCGGAGGTGGGATGGGTTGGTTCGGAGGGACGGGGGGGGGAGAGGAGACGGGGCTCGGCGGGCTCCGTAGGCGGAGGATGGGCAGGTTTGTTCAAGATGGGTCGGCGATGGTCCATGTTGGAGATGATGCAGGCGGGATTGGGGTGGAGTGGAGGGTCGAGGGTGGAGAGTGGAGAGACGGAGAGAGGCAGCCTCGCATTACCTAAGCGACGAGTCCTCCCTGTACTGCCCTGTAAGCTGTACGCTGTAACCTGTAAGGTCTGCCCTGGAAGGTCGCCCTGGAAGGTCGGCCCTGTAGCAGGAGCCTTGGCAATCGGCGTTGTCGTCCCCTCCCCCACCCCCCACCTTGCTTGACGATGTTAGCCCGAGCTGCGCGAGGGGTCAGTCGGCCAAGTTCAGATAATAAGAGGGAAGGAGGATCCTGACCGAAGTACAAACTTCTCACCAATCCCTCGTCCATCCACTTTTCCCTTACCCTTGCTTTTTCTTCTTGTCTCAAGCCCTCCTATTTTGGTCTATTTTTCTTACATAGGTCAGGACGATAGTTGATACCCCATTTACACAATGACCACCCCCCAAGCGCAGGCAGTGACCGTGTCGCTGAACGATCTCAAGAATGGTGGCGTCTCCTCGCATCTCCTCACCCCGTGAACATGTCACTGACAAGAACCCCCCAGGCACCGTCTCCTTTGAGACGCTGCAGAGCGCGTTCGGCCCCGACTCGCTCGGCATCCTCGTCGTCAAGGATGTCCCTGCCGAGTTTGCCCACCTCCGCCACCAGACGCTCTCCTACGCCTCCTACCTGGGCAACCTGGGCGCCGACGAGCTGACGAAGCTCGAGAACGTCAAGGCCAAGTACCTCACCGGCTGGTCGCTCGGCAAGGAGCAGCTCAAAAACGGCCAGGCCGACATGTTCAAGGGTTCGTACTACGCCAACTGCGCCTTCTACAACGACCCCAGCCTCGACTGCGCCCGCCCCACGGCCGAGTTCAACACGGACAACTTTCCCGAGTACCTGTCGCCCAACGTGTGGCCCGACGAGACGGCGCTGCCGGGCTTCAAGCCGAGCGTCGAGGCCCTGTGCCGCCTCATCATCGACACGGCCGTCCTCGTCGCCCGCGCCTGCGACCGCTTCGCTGCCGAGGAGATCCCCAACTACCCGCCCGGCTACCTCGAGCACGTCGTCAGCACGAGCAGCACCACCAAGGCCCGCCTGCTGCACTACTTCCCCCAGACGGAGGCCGACGAGGCCGCCAGCGGCGCCGACGACGACGACTGGTGCGCCACCCACCTCGACCACGGCTGCCTGACGGGCCTCACGTCGGCCATGTTCATCGACGAGCACAAGACGTCGCCCGCCGTGCCGCCCGCCGACGCCCTGCGCTCGACGACCGCCAGCCTGCCGCCCCTCGAGGAGCTCGCCAGCAGCCCCGACCCGGCGGCCGGCCTCTACATCAAGTCGCGCACGGGCGAGACGGTCCAGGTCAAGATCCCGCGCGACTGCATCGCCTTTCAGACGGGCGAGGCCCTCGAGCGCATCACCGACGGCAAGTTCAAGGCCGTGCCGCACTTTGTGCGCGGCGTGCGGGCCTCGGTAAGCGACGGCCGTGTGGCGCGCAACACGCTCGCCGTCTTCACACAGCCCAACCTCGGCGAGGAAGTGGACATTAAGCAGCACCTGACATTTGGCGAATTTGCACGGGGCGTCGTGGCCAAGAACACGGTGTAGTTTGGGCCTGGAGTACAAATCAATAAGCAAATGAAGAAGGAAAAACAAGAATGCACCACTGGTGATACCACTGGTGGCCTTGAGTGACGTGACATGTACGCGACAGACACATGCGAGGGTGGCATCAGCGGCACCTTGCCGAGCTGCCAAATACATGCATCTCGTCAGCCATCCGGTGGAAGTCCGACGGACCCGGTATCGACAATGGCACCCAAAGGCGTGCGATTGCGACGATGGGCTAGATGCAGTAGTGAGCCCCGCAGTACCGTAGTCCAGTCGTCATTGCTCATTGCGGCCGACAAGGACAAGCTCGCCATGTGCCGCCCGCCGCCCGATGTATAAAGCTTGTCTGCTGCGTCTACTGGAATTTGGCAGGTCACCTTCTTTGCTCTTCGACGACTGAAATCAACCGCTACACTCTTCCTACCTTTTGTGGTAACAAGACCAACAGATCAGCCATGGCGCTCCCTCCCAAATTCGCAGGCCACAAGCTCACCTTCACCTCGGCCGCCACACCAGCCGCCCCTTCCGGCGGCGACAGCAGCCCCGCAGGCCTGTCCTTCGAGCAGCCGCACACGCTCGAGGTCTACCTCGACTTCGTCTGCCCCTTCTCGGCCAAGCTCTACAAGACGCTCTTCGGGCCGGTGGCGGCGGCCGTGCGGCAGAACCCGGCCTGGGCGCGCCGCCTGCAGGTCGTCTTCCGGCACCAGGTGCAGCCGTGGCACCCGTCGTCGACGCTGACGCACGAGGCGGCCCTCGCCGTGCTGCGCCTGGCGCCGGCGCGCTTCTTCGACTTCAGCGCCGCCCTCTTCGCGGCGCAGAAGGACTACTTTGACGTCAGCGTCGTCGGCGAGACGCGCAACGCAACCTACCGCCGTCTCGCGCAGCTGGCGAGCGCGACGGCCGGCGTCGGCGAGGACGACGTGTTCCGCCTGCTCGCCATCTCGGACAAGCCGGCGGAGGACGGGTCGCTGAACACGGGCAATGCCGTGACGGTCGACCTCAAGCTCGCCGTCAAGATGGCGCGGCTGACGGGCGTCCACGTGAGCCCGACAGTGTTGCTGGATGGGGTTGTGCAGGGCGATATCAGCTCGGGGTGGACTCTGGAGCAGTGGACCGAGTGGCTGGGTGCCAACATTGCAGAATAGGGGAAGCGTTTCAATGAATGATCAATGATGAACAGTGTTCTTTTCTTGGATTGATGTAGACAGAGTGATGTGAGCTGTCTTCTTTTCTTGGATTGATGTAGACAGAGTGATGTGAGCTGTCTGTCTTTCCTCTGGGTGCCAGAGTACATAGGTACCTAAGGTGTGGTAAGGTAAGGTAAGGTAGGTACCCAGACGGGCAAGCAGGCAGGCAGGCACGACAGTGCACGCGCTTGCTGCGTGTCGCTAAATTTTAGGCGCCTTCTTTCCACCTCAACCTCACCACATACGCATGGGCCCTCACTCATCGACTCTTCCTCCATCCCGACCGCCCTCAGAACCAGCGCTTCGCGGTGCTGCACCCTCTCGCCATGACCCTCCTCCGCCTCTCCGCCTTCCGCGTGACGCCAAATGGCATCTACCGAACCTCGATCCCACTGCGCTCCTCTGTCCTCCGACCCCTCCTTCACAAGACCCTCCTTCACAAGACCCTCCTTCACAAGACCCTCCTTCACAAGACCCTCCTTCACAAGACCCTCCTTCACAAGACCCTCCTTCACAAGACCCTCCTTCACAAGACCCTCCATCAAGCAAGATCCAACTCCTCAACCGCCGCCTCAAAACCCACGCCGTCCTCCAGGATACCTTCCTCATCCTCCATCAACAAACCCGGCACGCCCCGTAAGCCTCCTACGTCTCCTGAGTCTCCTGAGCCTCCTGACCCCCTTGTCGAGCATCATCCCCACCACCGTCTGCAGCTCACTGACAACCCTTCCAGCCATCCCCGAACACCTGCTCATCTACCACGCCGGCACCTCGCGCATCACCTTCCTCGCCCTCTGGAAGATCACCTCCCTCTTCCTCTTTGCTTTCTTCACCCTCATCGCGGCCCCATCCTACGCCCGCCGCGCTTCGCAGACCCCCGAGGAGGCTGCCGACGCGACCAGTACGCCCACCACGGACCTCTCACCCGCCACCACCACCACCACTACTCCCGCCCCACCAGCAGACCCCCAAGCCGCCCAAAAGACCTACCTCCAAGCCGCCGGCCTCGCCCTCTGCGGCGTCATCCCCCTCGTCTACGTCGCCTACACGACCGCCCCCTTCGTGACCTTCATCTACCTGCGCCTGCCGCCCGCCGCGCGCGCCTCGCGCCAGGCCCTCGAGCGCTTCGTCCGCGCGGGCCCCCCGCCCACGACCCAGCTCGAGCTCCTGACCATGGGCCTCGCGACGCGGCCCCGCAGCGCCCTGACGACCCTCGCCGGCCTGCGGCCCGTCACGCGCCGTCTCGGCCTCGTCAACTACGAGCGCGACGTCGCCGCCCTCGAGGCCCGCCGCGCCTGGCACCAGTACCGCCCCGTCGCCCAGTTTGGCGTCCGCGTCGCCAACTGCAAGGGCGTCCGCGACGCCTGGGTCTGGGACGCCGTCAGGCCACTGCTCGGCAAGACGGCGCGCGAGAGGCGCGCCTGATGGCCCTCAGCGCAGACGTACACGCCCCCGAG